CGAATGAACTTTGACATACGATGAGCAACGCATATTTTAAGCATTGAAACATAAGAAATAATTACAGTGTCGATACGCGCTTACCATTCTGCGCAATCTGATATCTAAAGTTCAAATCGACGCCTCGATGGAAATCGTTTGTGTCGGTTTTCAAGAGAGAGATTTAATAGTGAAATGGACAAGATTCGCCGTCCAACGTTGTTGATTACGGTAATGACATTAGCATATTAATGGATAATCATTTTTCCGATTGTCATGATTTTCATTCAACTTACACGCGACTGAAATTTCCATACAATGTGCAATATTTTCAACGCGCAAAGATCGCGTTAATATTTACGCAGTCGAATGGAAGTTTAGATAACGATTTATTGGATGTTTGTTATTCGATTTAAATGTATCTGTATCATCGATCAAACTATACGGGCCAATTTATTTATGGGAAACGTGTCATTAGAAAAATCTTTGTTTTCAAATAATGTATGCACGATGAATTCATTTTGAACAATTGAATTTATCGTTCTACGAAGTTGCTTGATATTTCACTGAGTTCTTCGTTTTTATATTTATTTATTCGCGGGATTAAATACTCATTAATACAGAAAGAAATACAAGTATAGAAGATAATTACATAACAAAGATAAAAGATACGAAATATGAGACTGACTGTGAATAATTACAAGGAGATTTAATGATAAAATTGTACGGTTAAAAACATCGATCAAACCAACTACAAACCAATTACAAGGGATATACATAGAAGCCATAAAGTGTTCGATGGTGTTTTATGTGAAATAATTCAGAGCGACGTAGTATTCTGGAAGGCATATTAAATCTAAACATTTCAATGATATTCAGACACAAGATCAAACCATTAAGTGCCCTGTTAAGAAAGAGTAAGTCAGCTACTTTTTTGCGGTGTTCGAGCGTAGTCAAATTTAATTTGATTAGAACGTAATCGTAATTATGAGGGATATCCTATGAAATTATATTTTCAAAACTCTTTGCCATGACATTTTGAATACATGTCGGCCTGTAATGTTGTATTAAGGTTGGGTCAGAGGTTTTAGGGATCGGTCTGACTAGACATAGCTTCCAAGATTGAGGAAAAATACCAGAGGAGAGGGATTTATTGAATATTATCCAAAGAAAATAGGGAGGATACCATCTAGACCTGTACTAGAATTATTATTGAGAGTGATAGTACTGTGAAAGACGCCACTAATACTTATGGAGATATTCGAGAAGTTCAAGGTTTGCAGATAATTGAAAATTATATTCACGCTGATCATGGCTGATCATCATTAATGTAGACCGATTTGAAAAATTCAGCAAAGCAATTGGCAATTGACAAGCCATCAGTCAGAAGTTCATCACCAAAATGTAACCCTGAAGGCGAAGAGGCTGTAGATTTCATAGAATTAACGAATCGTCAAAATGATTTAATATTATACAGAATAAGCGATTCGATGGAGCGTACATATTAGGTTGAGGAAAAAGAAATCCATTATTTTCACGTTTATTTCAAGACTTTATTTGACATGGTTCGGATTGTCCGATTTCGGTCAAATATGTAGCGTTTTGTTTTATAATTTGTTGCCATTCGATTTCGTTCCGTTTCAATTCGTCTGACACCCAAACATCGAGCTTCTTTTTGAATCCAGTTTTATGCAAATGGTTTAAAATTGTTTTGTGGCCGATCTTTAGCTTCTGGTTGATGCTACGGCTTCTAACACGTCGGTCTATTTCGATCATTTCCATGATTTTATAGACATTTTCGTCATTGACTGTGACAGTTTCGGGACCATAAACACCATTCACAATTTTAACCATCTGCATTTTCGCCTTCATCAAAGCAAGATTATAAAATATACTGAATTTTCTCTTTGTTAACTTCCATCTTTTACACCATGTAACTCACGACTGAATCGACCAACGAAAAAACTGTAAATGAATTTTGTTTAGTACGGAATGCCACGTTTCCAACGACCACAAGTCGAAATATATATTATATATACTACAGCCAACTAAGTAAAAAATAATGGATTTCTTTTTCCCCAACCTAATATTAAAGTGAAATTCTCGTTTCTTTCTCCTATCGACTTCTAAATGAAGTTCCATCATTTCGTCGAACACCCTGTACGTTTTGACCGATATCTACCAATTACTCCGAGCGACGGGATTAATCACAGATAGGGAACGACAAGAAACATCGTCCAGACGTCGGTAATCCGCGAACAACGGGCGCGCAAAAGGATCACCAAGGACGGGGCGAAGCAAATTCGAGAAAACCGAAGGAAGGGCCCTGGGCATTAAAGCAACGAGGCGCAGGTCAAAATCCAACAGTCACAAAACGATCGTGTCACCGGTATCGCCGAGTAAGAGTAACCCAATCGTCCGTTCCTCGAGGCACGCGTGTAAAGATATGTATACGCGGAGGACGAAGGAAACACAGTCGAAGAAGAAGAAGAAGAAGAAGAAGAAGAAATTCCGAACGAGCGGAGTAGGGCTGACCAGACGTGTTATCGACGCTCTGCCAACCCCTTAAATCAGCGAAGGTAGGTGAGCCCAGGGGGGATGAAGCAGAAGAAGAGGAGGTAGAAAGGTCCTCCTTTCTCTTTCCCTGATCCCTCGATTTTTTTTCTTAGCTTCGTGACGAAGAGAGGACATGCGCATGCAGATCACGTCGGTTGTAGCCAAGTGATAGCGTATCTGTGGGCGGCGCGTGCGTGTGGTCCCTTCTATGTCCCCTTTAACTCCCATCCTTACCTTCGTCTCTTCCACCATGCTCCAAGGAACGCTACGGGCCCCTTCCTTCTCTTTTTCGCCTTATACCTGGAGCCCCCACGATCCTACCGGTTTACCTCCTCGCTTTTAAATAGGGAAATGATAGACTTAATATGCGATTTAATGCGTGTCCACTTGACGCTTTCCGTTTCGCGCCAAACCCTCGACGACGTTATCGCCGCGTCTCTCTTCTCTTTGCAACGCTCCCCCTCCCCACTCTTCCTCTCAGCCATCCCCGATTCACGTCCATCGCGTTAAAATTTCCGTACTGTTCGATACAAAACTTGCTTTTGTTATTCCAAAGCATTTATAGAGCCATTTTAATATTTTTGAAATTCTATATTGGTTTCATCAATCTGTAACTTCTCTTCAAATAATATTTTATCTCTCCATCTCCATCGGATCTCGATACTTCTGTAGACCGTAAGAAACCGTAGTGAACGAAACGTGGATTTCGTTGGACGCTCGAAAGAATGATGACCCGTTAACGAAACCTGGCGAACGAATTTCCCGGTTTTCAGAGGATTCGGCTATCGCGAAATTATGTAAATTTGCTTCAACAACGCCCGGGACAAGGTTTTTTCGTCTGATCCGGATCGGAATTCCTCCAGTTTCCAGCATCGGGCCCAAACTCCTAGTCCAGCGGGCTTTGGGCGAAGATGGAAGTCGACCGGTCGTGCGAGATTCTCCTTATCGACGCGAGCTGGCCCGTCTCCGGGCCGTTCGTGGGCTCGAAATAGCGTCTTCGGGCCCACCTCGTGCCTTCCCAGCGTCTACCTTCGAAGAAGAAACGTAACCCTAGACGTATCGTGGTGTCATGTCCCGCGCACCTGGCGGCCTCGTTCTTTGTAACACGATACACGCGTTTCTTCTTCTTCTTCTTATTCTTCTTCTTGTTCTTCTTCTTCCTCGTCGTCTTTGCTGCCGTTGTATCGTTCCCTTCTTCTTCCACGACGTCGTTCCTAGGTGATGTCGTGCTCATTTCGTCATACGAGAAGAGTATGGAAACGTTGAGAAAGAGACGTCGACCGGTTAATTAATCGTTCGAACTCTTCTGCTTTCTCCGACAGTTGCTTGTCTTTTATCGCTTTCGTTTGCATTGGGAAGGGATGTTGACGAGTTTGGTACGGCGCAAACTCAGAACAAATATCAGCAAATTAAATCTCATTTATTGGTGGGAATTAAAAGTCAAAGTTCCCCTTTCTATTACGTCAGACTTTATATTCTGTAGTTTATGTTCCATGCAAGATTGTAAAACATTGTTTTCTTCAAATTCTTGCTTATTCTTTCGGTAAGTATTTACGAATAGGAAATACTACGACAAAGAGAATGTTTGTTTTAAAAATTAAGTATTCTCTATAATCTGTTACTAATAAATATAGAAAGACTTGGTTCAATGAATAAAGGGGAGCCAAATAGTTTAAAGTAAATTTTCTACGAGGACAAAAGTTTCATTTCAGACAAAAGGTGCACGACCTAAAATTTGTGGTAAACTTTCATTAAAAAAATGTATTTTCTTTAAATTCTCAGTGAAAAGTCCCTGTCGCTCATATGTGGGTCACACGACAGTCGTACAAATGGCAGATAAAAATATATATATGTATATATATATCAGATTAATTACACTATCAACGTCACGATATTTTGTCGGTTACTTTCGATAAGAATAGGTTCTCGAGGGTGGTCGAAATATCATGTACAACTGTAGTTTAAAAAATAATATAATAAAAGTTTATTTTACACGTACAAACGAAACACAACGCGCACGTAGGTACACAACGTAGGTGTGAAACGATTCTCTTAACGTTACTGTTCCGGTTTGCCTATACATATAATACGTCGTGCGTAGCATAATTACAGATCTAACGAGCTTTAATCCGTAAATAGATTTCATCGTGATATACAATCATAACTACATATATTCTAATATTAACATTTATAGATACGTACGCGGGTAGATACGCTGAAAATCGACTGGAATCGAATTCGAGTCTCGCGAACGGCTCGTATATCGAGTGTAAACAACCGAAGATGTCGACTTTACTCCGAACTTTGAATCCGTCAACACCGAAACGAGTCCCTCGAACTGTCCTTCACTGTTAAAGCCGCACCAGGATCGAGTACGAAAGCGAACGAGCGCCCGGGATCCCGTCGAGTAAATTTCGTTGGCGCAAACGCGGGTCGGAGGGCGTTTCGAATCGGTTCACGGGACACTAGGACGTCTCTTGGAGCACAACGGTACTCGAGCCAGGTACAGGGATCCCTGGCGGCGGCGGCGGCGACGTCGATACGCCCAAATTGTGAGTCAACGAATGCCTCCTCAGGTCGCAATTCCTGCGGAAGACCTTGCCGCAGGAGGCACAATGGTACGGCTTGATGTCCGTGTGAGTCAGGAGATGGGTCTTCAAATTGCTCCTCTGGTTGAAGCTCCTCGCGCATACGGGACACTTGTGAGGCGACTCCTCCATGTGCAGGATCTTGTGAACCGCCAGGGTCCTGCTCTGACAGAATCCCTTTCCGCACTCCGCGCATTTGAACGGCTTCTCCTTGCTGTGGATGTACCTGCGACCAACAGAAAACGAAACAAGTTGGAATCATCAACTCTACGATCGTAATTTATATATTTCCGTTGATTTGTCGATGTTTTGAGAGTTATCGACGACGTCGGACACGGGGAAACATTTCATTTCGAATATTTCTTTCTATCGTTCGAATGATAATTTTAGTTCTTGGAGTAATTTGTGTCGATCCGATAGCTTTAAGTTTGTAGTGTTTCAAAACACTTAGTATCGACATCAAACAGAATCCTAAAAATAAAAATTATTTTCTAGACGAATAGGCTTAATATTTTAATGTGTCGATGGTTTCGTTACCACTTCTCACCAGATGGTGACCGTTTTAAAAATATGCAATATACATATAGGTATTTTAATTTCACTCGAGTAAAGAATTGCCGCAAAAAGTTAATAATAAAAATTTCAAGTAATTCGGTTAGTCTTTGGATGAGTAGACACACTTTGAGTGATTACTCAAAATAGAAATAAGATAACGATTTAAAAATCGTATGCATCTATTGTATATGAACTATTCACATGAAACAAATCCAAAATAGTTTGTTCAACGATATTGTTAAGAATGGGTTACGTAAATTAAAAATTACACATTGACAATTGATTCGAATTTACTTCCAAATTTCCGTTAGAAGTTATAAATTATTTATCTCTTATTCGCAATTCGAAACACTCGCACGATAGCTTATAGAAGAAGACCTATTATCGACTCGGTAAGAGTATTATTTCAAGGAATTTGAAAAGCTGAGAATGTATCAGAGGACTTAAGAAATAAGCTCTAAGAACGTACCAACGTTTGGGGGATTGTAGTACTCCAAAACAAAGAAACGAAGATCATCGAATGATAGTATGTCGAATCATAAAATAGTAAGATGAGAACACGATTTAGTTAAATTTTCATTACGACTAGACAATCGCATAAAGAACTCGTTGCGCGGGAAGAAGAATACCGAAGAGACTGTGCGGCTATTTGTGGTCGCGATGTCCAATTAACGGGAATTGCAGACGTATCGATTGATGTCGTCATGATCGATGATCAAGATACGAAATGCTCGATAAATTATCACGAATTGATCAACGTAATTAATACGCTGCCACGATACCAGTCGCCATCGTAATTACAAGATGGGCGAAGACGCGTGTATTATTTCGTCGTATTTAGATACCGCGAAGATTGCAATCAATTTAAGCACGCAAAGAAGAAAGCACGCCACGAAGCACCCTCATTGGTGTAACTGCGTACGCGGTGTACGTTTTCCCGAGCCAATGAACGTACATAATACCGGCTTTATTTCCCGCGTTTCTTCCACGAACATATTTTCATATTGCTAATTATTACGAGAACTTCTAACGGAAATTTCTCGATGGAAGTAAATTAGAATCAATTATCAATGTGTAATTTTTAATTTTCGTAACCCATTGTTAACAATATCGTTAAACAAACTATTTTGGATTTGTTTCGTGTAAATAGTTCATATACAATCGTTAAGCAACGATTCTTTTTAATTTAACGAATTAGTGTTCCGACGTGTGATTCTTACTTCTATTTTGAGTAATCACTCAAAGTGTATCAGCTTATCTAAAAACTAACCGAATTACTTAAAATTTGTATTATTAATTTTTTTCCGGCAATTCATTACTCGAGGAAAATTAAAATACCTATAAGTTGTATAGTTTTGAAACGGTCACCAGATTCGAATATTGTTAAACAGATTTTGAGAAGGGGGTATCTGGTGAGAAGTGGTAACAAAACCATCGACACATTAAAATATTAAGCCTATTCGATTAGAAGATAACTTTAATTTTTTAGGATACTGTTTGATATCGATACTAGGTGGTTCGAAATTTACACTATAGACTTAAAGCTATCGATCGACACTTTAAGCACTTTGTAATTTAATAACGCGCAGAAGTCTCTCATCATTAAAATAATAGTTATACTACATATCACGAATTTCAAGTTTCATCAAGATCGATTTCAACTACTAACAATGGTTTACATATTGGTATACCATAAGATTGGATACATATGGAGCCCTGAACACACTCATAATTAAAATCTTTTGCTTCCGAGAAAACTCCAATAATTAAAACTAGCATGGCTTAAATTATAAATAAATAATAAAGAGTGAAACAACGTGAAACACACCACGTAAATAAAATCTTTTGCTACCGAGGAAACTCCAATAATTAACCCTTAAATGGATTATTGGGGCCGCTGCGGCCCTCTGCAAGTTTAAACTAATATTTATTTAATATATGTCAATGTAATTATTCGAATCCTTCTTTGTAATCTTCCATTAGTTCATGTTTTTTTAAATGCTTTAAAGAAAAGTTTATTTCCAATTTACGAATTTGGTAAAAATCAACATTAAGTAAAATAATTCAGTTGAGATTGAAGGTCCACTTAAGGGTTAAAATGAACATTGCCTAAATTGCAAATAAATAATAAAGAGTGAAACTACGTGAAACACACTCATAAGTAAAATCTTTTACTTCCGGGGTAACTCCAATAATTAAAACTAACATTGTTTAAATTACAAGTAAATCATAAAGAGTGAAACAACGGTTCCAAGTATGCTATTCGTCCAAGTTTACGCGCATATCCGATCGCGAAACGTGTCGATCTAGAATGTCGAGGAAAGGCGGTCCGCTTACCTGTGGTCCCTCAGGTGATCCTGCCGTCGGAAGGCCTTTCCGCAAATGTCGCACGAGTACGGCCTCTCGTCGGTGTGCGTTCTCTCGTGTATCAGCAGATTGTAGCTCTTGGTGAACTGTCGACTGCAGAACTTACATATAAATTGCTTCTTCGGCCTGGATGCCCTGCAGGTCCTCGTCACGGTGGACTCGGCGGAGGTGGTGGTGGCCTGTAGTGGCGAGGACGAGGACAACGACGACGAGGAGGACGAGGAGCAGGCCGACGAGGAGGCCGGTGACGTGAACGACGGAGCGGCGATCTGCGAAAGGGACGTCGTCGACTGGGTCACGGTAGTCGCTGTGCTGGAATTCAAGCGACTTCCTTCGGATATCCGTCGCAGGAGGGTCTCGTGGTTGGCGGAGGACGTCACCACTGGCGCGTCGCGCAGGATGGCTTCCTGTTCCTCGAGCAACGCCAAGTTCTCCTCCGGGTCCTCGATGAAGTCCAGCCGCGCGTCGTCGTCGTCGTCGTCCGCGGATTGCAGCAGCCTTTCCGCCGCGAGTTGGTCGGTCTTGGACGGTGTCGTCGTCGTGAGCGCGGCCTCCAGGCCGGCGTTTATAGGCGAACACCTCTGATTCAACCCCGTCGCGGCGTTCTGAGTGACACCGGGCGCGGCACTGCTCGCGTGCAGCCGATGAAGAGTCAAATAGGTCTCCAACGCTTGAAGATTCAGGGCGGCCGCCGCGGCGTGACCCGGGGGAAGCAGGGCAGCCCTCTGGAGGGCCGCGAGGAGGGCGCCCTGGAGGCCCAGGGCCACGCTCTGCAACGTGAAATTCGGCAGACCGGCGTCCGTGACGCTAGCGACGTCCCTCAGCTCGCCACTGGTGGAAGCGGACGTCGACGAGGACGACGGGACCATTACGATTCCCCGCTCCTGGTCCTGGTCCTGCTGTTGCTGTTGCATCCTCCCCCGTCGCTAGAATCGTCCCGGGTCAGGCTCAGGGGTTGCTGACGTGTTGCCGGCACCATTGGCGAGGGTTGGCTGTTGGTCTCGGCCGCGGCGTTCTGTCACTTCGGGTCAGCTCGAGAAACTGTAGGATTTTATTTTTCGTTCACTGTCCGTTCGGTAGGCCCCGTTTCGATGCCCGGGCCCTCATGCTCGACCGTTACACGCGGATGGATCGCGAGGGATGCTCGCGACAGGGCGAACGAATGGGGAAAACGGCAAAGAGAAGAAACGCGTGCGATGCTGGCGGTGCGGAGGCGCCTCGACGACTGCTCCTGCCTCTCGCTGCTGGGCACTGCTCGTGGAGACACCTGGTGGCAGGTATCCGAGGCGAGTTGGGACCGTCCGCGAGGAACGGGCCCCGGATTCTGGAGAGAGAGCCCCACAGCTGGGCTCCGCAATTGCTCGCCGTTTCAGCGTAAACGGCGTCGTTCGTAATCTCGCGTGCACGCGTGACTGCATGCGTAGCTGCACGCGTGCGAGGCCTGCGTTACGGGGACCGTACCCGGGGACAATCCCTGACTACCCCCTCCGAAGCGTTATGATTTAATTCTTGCGCCGCCCGGAATTATGAAGCCGATGCACCCGACGATTTTACGGAATGCCACGAAACAAAGCTCCTTTTAGTCGCGTCGAGGACAGACACTGTTGGAACGCGCATAATCGCGACGTTTCTTTGTTGCATATATACGTGTTGCGCGAGTGTCCCCGAAATTGAGAACATGTTTTTACATAACGCTCACTCTTGATCAGTACGCCGCCACACTGGCCCATTTTGCCGAAAAGCTGGTTTTTGATTCGAGAATTGTTATTCTAGGGTTTTTCGAGGTCGCTGATCACCAATCTAAAGTAAAAATTTCGAAAAACGGAATGGCGGATCAAAAATGGCGGATGGATATATTATAAAAGTATCGTGATGGCCTGAAAATTGGTATCCTAGAGTTTTCGAGATCGCTGATTATGAATCTAAAAGCAAAATTTCAAGAAACCAGGTCAGCACGTTCGAATATGTTGACAAAAATGGTAATATAATGTAATTAAAATTGAAATTAATGACTAGACTTCGAAATGAAAACTGCTATTTTACTGATTACAGCCTTTATTTTTAATCAGATTCAGATTCAGATTTTGACGAATATACATGTATTCACTATCACATCGTATGTTTTGAACTTTGGCAGAAATCTGTTTCTTTATTTTTTTTCGAAATTATGCCCGAAAGTGTTATTAGTGGATCTGAATGTAATAATAATCTATTAAAAATGTCTTCGTTGGTTTTCTTCCTGGAAATCTTGTGGCTATAACAATGACACGATTCTAATACTTCTTCTGTAAAACACCCTATGGATATAATAGTATTTTTTGCCCCAGTGGGTCCATGAATAAATATTTTATGTACCGATCAGTAACTTCAACATCATTTGCAGAGAGCATCAATTTGTACTAATTGTTACTTTAAATATAAATATTATCTAAATCTGCTAATTTCTGCAAAATGTTTCGATTGGATATCAAACTTGGTATGTTCCTTAATAGAGTGGTACGTGTCACACTGTGGAAATTCCGTGAATAACATAACTATTTCTTTAAAATTGTATTAAAGAATGGATAAAATTTATGACATCTTGGCAAGAGAATTACATAGGTAAATTTAAAGCTATTTTATATTGTTCAAATACAAAGTTTACATTAATAAGTTGTATTTTAAGGACAAAATGATTTAAATATATTTGTTTGTTTATATGAACTGTACCTGACACATTAAACATACTACAGCTTTGAAGGTCTGTATATCAGTAACTTATCTCTACATTTTAAAATTTCAAGCGGCATTCAATTCTCTGATATGTATACAATACATATGGCATACAGGCAAGGAGCTAAGTAGTAGAAAAATTGCATTTTGGCAAGCTTTTCAGCAAAATGGGACACTGTGCACAGTGTCGTCAAGTTGTATACAAAGTGTGAAATGTACAGTAACGAGCATAACTGAACCAATAATCACAAGTTTTGTATAGATCATTATTTGCTGCTAAGAATATAGGAGAATATTAAAAAACAAACATTATAGTTATCTTTATCACAAAACCGAGTCAATCTATACTTTTTTTCATTGCCAAACGAGAAGACATTAACTAAAAAAAAAATTTCTTATGTTACTTCTAATTGTGATAAAGATAAGTATAATGTTTACTTTTTAATATTTTCTTACATTCTTAACAGTAAATAATGATTTATACAAAACTTGTGGTTATTGGTTCAGTTATACGTTTGTTAACTCTGCAAGATTACTCTGAATCAATTCAAATTACTAAAACCCAACAGACTCTCAACCGGATGGCCAACTTTTATCATCGGTATAACAATTGGACAAATTTCATTACCGTTGCCACGATATTATTATGTGCAATCTCACCGCAATTGCACTGTAATTACTCGATAATTAGACGGTTATTATACGATTTAAAGATTCGCGATTATTATTATGCCGCAATTAGACGGTCATCGCCGTACGATTACAGCGTAATTACGGATAGTCGTGACAAATGAAATCGGACTACATTTTGCCCAATTCTGATTATAATTACCTACAGACGAGGCAAATGAAAAGGTACGATACCTAATTGAGTAGTTATTCGAAAGATATTTTGTTTTAAGTTAAAATATAACGTTAAACTGCCGATGCACGCGCCATGACGCCATCTTAAGCATACGGCATAGTAAATTTAATAATGTCGCGCGTTGTCGTACGTTCGTATCGTTATTGGTGTGCGTGTATGTTTATTGGGCGATTCAGCGACTCGAACGCCTGCGCAAGACGTCACTCTCGTCGGACAGAACTCAAGCTGACGTTCATTTTTCGCAGTTTAAAATGAATTTTCGCTAGCCTTGTAAGGCGTTTCATTCAATTACAGTACGTTGGGTGCCCGAAGGTTAAATTGGTTTCTGTCTAGCGACGTATCGGTAAATCTCTGGTGCTTCTGTGTTCGCGGCTATCATTAAAACGTCGCGAATTAAGAAATACGAGGTACTTACGTAACATATTGTGAGCCGTGAAAGTAATGAACGGCAAATTCAAGCATGGCGTGTGTCACCAACGCGATACTCACGCCCGAGCAATAAACAATGTAAATACGACGTTGCTTGTTCCCTTCCGTGCTATTCGCGCGTTTGAGGCTCAAATCTAAGAATACGCTACGAACAGAGATAAAATAAGAAAGCAGAAAAAACGCCGACGACGCAGAGATATTGTTTATCTCGCCGTAAATCGCCTCGAACGTTGGTACCGTTAATTTCGTTTAAATTGATTGTGCTATCTTAACTATCAGAAGCGAAGGTGGAGACGACGCGGACAGAAAATTTCGATTGGAAATTGCAAAAGAAAATTTCTGTAGTAGAATAGATCGGTGGTTCTTAACCTATGGCACGCGGATCCTAGAAGGACCGTAGATAGATATCTGTAGATCCCTGAACTTGTACATCAAAATTTTAGATATACATATAGTTTCGTTATCCGTTAACTGATCTTTTCGATACCTTGGCTATTAAACTGAAATAAATCTTTCGATTCAATATCCTGAACTTACCACTATGTTTTGTACAGAGAAATTACAAGCTTGATGTCTTTGGAAACTTTCAAATGCTGATAGAAGTACTAACTAATGTCATTTTAAAAAACGAATTTTGCAAACACCTGGAACTGCTAATTCTTTTGTCGAATATTTTTATCTCGATGATATTAGAATTGAACCTGGATCCACGAACCTTTCCTGACCAATATAAATTCTATCGAAGATGCAGACCTAGTGAAAAATAATATCGTTGATCTTAAAACCAAAAATGAGCACAAAATGAAACCGAAAAAGTCTGATGTTCCTTATAAGCTGAGCAAGTCAGGATTTTTAACAATTCGAGGAACATTTCATAGAATGAGTCCACAAGCTTGGACCACCAAAAGGGGTACGTGGAAAAAGAAAGTTGAGAATCACTGATCTAGATCAATAGAACACCTTTGGAACTATCTTAAACAAAACTTGGTATTTCCATTTGAAACACTACGACAGAAGTGGCATAGTATTGGCAAAACAGATATAAGCACTCATCGATTAGAATTTCATTTGATGCTAGAAACATATGTTCATTATACTACATCATAATCACATATACATATTTTATCCCTTACCCTATACATTGGTTGATTAACCCTTAAATGGACTCTGAATCACAACTGAATTATTTTGCTTAATATTGATTCTTATCAAATTCAGGGTATCGAGACGTAACCAAATCAAACAGAACAGCGAAGATAAATATAGGGGTGGGTGACTGGCGCAACAAAGGAAGAGTTAAACCAGCGAAACGGAACGTTCAAAACCTACTTACATCCCCCAGACTCGCCCACAACCCCTGCGACCGTCGACAGTCCGTTTCAGGATCGGAATTGAAATTTCCCATGGTAGAGAGGGCAGTTTCCAGCCCCTTTGGAGGGAGGGAGCAACATCCGCGCGAGACGCGCGTCGGAACGCGAGAGAATCGCGGCACCGCGCCCTACGTGCCGCCGCCACGTTTCGAGGCCCGGCTGCAAAGCCGCAACAATTTACGACGGCAATTAATGCGCGCGAGTAAACCGCGTATAGCGCCTGTAGTTAGCTGCCTCTTCCAGCACGACGGGACCGTGCAACGAGAAAGAAAGACGGACACGTTCCCTGCACGCGCTGTACCGCGGGAAGAAGCGAGAGCCGGACGAGCGTCGCGCAGTGGAAACGGACGAAGAGGAGGAAGAAGAAGAAAGCCACGGTAAAGGGATCCCCGGGGGAACGGAGAGGGTCAAACAGGAGGGTCAGAGGGAAGGAAGGGGGGCGGGGGCGGGGGGCAGAGAGTGCGCGCGAGGTAAGAGAGGAGAGACAAAGAGAGCGAGAAAGGGAGAAGAGAGGCGAACCGAGGCAGACTAAATAATA